CGATGTGGCTCAAGTGGTAGAGCACTAGACTTGAATTGAAGAGCTGAGTGACAGTGCCCAGGCCCAGAGTTCAAGCCCCACCACTGACAGAAAAAAAAAAAAAGGTAGGGAATAGCCTGTGGATGGGACAGGTTGGAAGAGTATGGTTGAGAAACAAGAAACAGCAGAAAGCACTTCTAGCATGTGTTAGCAAAGTCAAGGGCTCCTGGGGGACTGTGAGGATCTCCCTTTGCAAGGAGCCAGGTCACCCAGGGGCTCACCATGAGCTTGGGACTTGCCCATTCTCTCATGAGAAGCTGATCACACCTGCTATGTGGCAGGAACCAGAGGTCTTCCCTTCATAAAACTTGTATTTTAGAGGAAGCACAGCTGATAAAAAGTAAATTATACAACTTGGTATAAAGCGTGAAGAGCTAGGTTAGCACTTAGCAAAGGTTTGGGAAGAGGCTGCTTAGCAATGACCAGGTTCAGACCAAACTGACAAGATAGACAATCAAGGAGCACAGGATCAGGTTTGTGTTTTACAAAGATGACAACATGAGGGTAGGGATGAATGGAGAAGAGGATTTAAAGCAGCCAAACAGGGAAGAGGCTGAAGCCTGCCTCAACACATGCTCCTGGTTAAATGTGGGCCTCCTAGTTCTGGACCTACCTGCTCGCCTGAGAAACATGGCTTCTCGAGCCTCGGGACTGTCCAGGTGACTCCGATCACCAGGGCCAAAGCCAACTGTTGGGAGGGGAAGAGACGAGGATGGTAAAAGGTAAGGCATGGGCATTCCTTTTTACCACCTCCCCACACCTGATCCTGACCTTACCTTGTGTCTCTTTACTTACCTGGGCCCACAAAAGGAGGGCCCCCCACCATGGGAGGAACTACTGTGGCTGCAGCGGCTGCCCGGGCCTCCAGAGTCTGTTGGACCTGTGGGAAAAAGGTTGGGGATAAGGGGCCTGACTCAGTGTCTGCCATTAGAGGCATAGACTTCTACCCTTTGAGCTCTGGTGATCTCTCAGGGCTCAGTTAATGTCACCTGGGAAAGGAGGCTTTGGGACCAAGGAACTAAAGCTGCCTAGGTCTCTCAGTCTCAGTGCTGCTCATCACCCTGCTTCCTCCTCTCCACAGCACTCTGAAGTTAGGTGCAACCTGTGCTCTGCATCTCCCACATCCCACCCCAGCTCAACCCACCATCTCCTTGTCTAGACTATTATACTAACCTTTTGCTCTCTACCCTTAGACAGCCAGCGCTGCTCTGTTAACCTTGGAGTTAAACAACTACCCAGAATCCTCAACAGCTCCCTCTAACAGAGGAAACCATACAAGATTTTGCCTGGCTTAATCTCCACTTCCTTCTGTTTTTTTTTTTTTTTTTTGGGTCCGGTTGTGGGGCCTGAACTCTGGGCCTGGGTGCTGTCCCTCAGCTCTTCAGCTCAAGGCTAGCGCTCTACCACTTGAGCCACAGCGCCACTTCCGGCTTTTTTCTTTTTGCTTATGTGGTGCTGAGGAATCAAACCCTGGGCCTCAGGCATGCAAGGCAAGCGCTCTACCACTGAGCCAACTTCCCAGCCCCTTCCTTCTGTTTTTATTCCACTCCAGCCACTGATCTCTTGCTGTTCCTTGAATGTGACAGTTATGTGCCTGGCTCAGGGTCTGGGCACTGACACTTCTCTGCTTGGAATGATCATACTCCAGACATGGGCATAGTTCCTTATACCATCTCTTGTATGTATGTATGTATGGATGGATGGATGGATGTGCTAATACTGGACCTTGAACTCAGGGTTTGGGCTCTGTCCCTTAGCTTTTTTTTTTCCCCTCAAGGTTATCCCTTGTGCCACAGCTTCACTTCTAGATTTTTCAGTTTGTCTCTCAGTAAGTCTCTCAAGAATTTTCTCCAGCCAGGTGCTGGTGGCTCATGCCTGTAATCCTACCTAGTCAGGATGCTGAAATCTGAGGGTTGTGGTTCAAAGCCTGCCTGGGAAGGAAAGTCCATGAGACTCTTATCTCCAATCAACCACCAGAAAACTGGAAGTGGAGCTGTGACTCAAAGTGGTAGAGCACTAGCCTTGAGCTGAAAAGCTCAGGGACAGCACCTAGTCCCAGAGTTCAAGCCCCACAACCGATCACTACCACCACCACCACCACCACCAATAAAAGAAATTTTCTCCAACTGTGATCCTCGGACCACAGCTTCCAGAGTAACTAGGATTACAAGAGTGAGCCACTGGCACCTGGACCTCCCCTTTTCTTAACACTAGTCAGAGAGAGATGGTTATTGGACACTTGAAATTTGACCAATGAAACAGAGGACAACAAATAGGGAGCAGAAAGTTTGCCAAACAAAATGTTCTAGAATGTAAGCTCCCAAAAGGAAGTGATGTCTTAGTATACTCAGTATCTCCAAACGTGACATCTGTGATACTCAATTAACAAGCCAAAAGAATCAAGAGCTCATGGACATAAACACTTGCTGAGCTTGCTGAGGTTCAGACACTGGGTCCCCGGACTAACCCGCCAAAGCTCAGCCTCACCTGCTGGTACGTGTTGGTCGCAATAATTGGTCGGATCACAGGAGCTGCTGGGACCTGCATCGCTTCTACCGTGGGCACCGTGGGCACCGCGGCTGGGATCCCAGTTACTGGAGCTCCCAGAACTTCCTGCTCAAATCTGAGGGGAGGGAGGGAGAGAACCAAGAGATACAAGTCGGACCCCCTGCTGGGACGCTGGGTACGTCGTGGTTCCACTCCCGTACTCCGCCCCCCACCGCCGGGAGCCTCCCGAAGGTCCCCGCTCCTCTAGAGCCGCCCGAATGCTCCAGGCCGGGTAACTTGGTTCTGGGACGGCTTTCCCCACTCCCTCCCTCCGGCCTTACAGAGCCATCTCCGCCTCCATTTCCTTCAAACGCTCCTCTCCACTTTTTCCCGGAATGCCTCCACCAGGGCCTGGTACTACGGGTCCTCCTGTAACCGGGAGCCCCGGAGCTGGTCCGGCCCCAGCCATCGCTGCAGCCGTCGCTGTCGCCGCTCCTATGGTCCCAGCTCTGCCGCCGCCGCGGGATCGGCTTGTCTACTCTCCGCCTTCGACAGGGTGGGCGCCCGCGAGTGACGTAAAGCGAGCGACGGACGCGGTGCCTGACGCCATGCGTTCGCGAACATGGGCCAACCAGGCACGGACACACCCTATGGGGGAATGTAAGCCAATCAGAGTGCCGGAAAGGAGGGAAGCACTCGGACCAATCAGAGCTCCTCAGAGACATGGCCACACCTTCCTAGAGGAAGGTGAGCTAATGAGGTGGAAGCGAAGTCAGCTGGTCCCACCCCCACCGTGGAATACAGGCCTGGGAGAACGCCGCCAAGTTCGGGGCGTTGAGGGTGCCTGCGGGCCCCGGGCGAGAAGTTTGTAAACACGCGGAAGTCCACGTTGGGGCCGGGTTGATTCGAAGCTGAGAGGAGGCGCCTGGCTCAGGCTTTCGGGCGGAAGGGAAGTGACATCCCATGACTGTTTTTGGTGCCAGTCTTGGGTCTTGAACTCACGGCGTGGACGCTGCCCCTGAGCTTTTTTGCTCAAGGCTACCACTCTCTACCACTTGAACCATAGCTCCTGAAATATCCCGCGATTTTCCGCAGTCCTGAGAGACAGTCCAACACTCAAGTCAAATCGGGCTAGGAACCTTTATTAGCTGTAGGGGGATTGTCCCCCACCGCAGCAGCAGTGGGAAACAGCACCGGACCCGAGGAGCTCAGGGTATTTTTGTTGTTGTAGGTCACGGGGCTTCAACACTGGGCCTGGGCACTGTCCCTCAGCCCTTGAGCCACAGCGCTACTTCAGGTTTTCTGACTGGTTTATTGGAGATGAGAGTCTCACGGACTTTCTGCCCAAGCTGGCTTTGAACCCCGATCCTCAGATTTCAGCCTCCCGAGTATTTAGGATTACAGGCGTCAGCTTCGCCCGGCTAGCTCAGGGTATTTGAACGCAAGAACCACAGAGGCCACTCGCAGATGGTCAAGTTCCGTATTTTAGCATATTTGCTGAGCAAGCAAGAATAACAGAACATCAGTGGTTGGTTAGCCTTACAGACAGCCCGATTTTTACTCATTTTTGCCAATTTCAGTAAATGACAAGCCGCAGTTGGTTCCATTTCCAGAGTTTGTTTGCTTTTCAGCTCTTGGGAGTTGTTTGTCCCCAGTTAAATTTCTTTCTTCCTTGATCTAATTAATATCCTATCTGCTTATTTTAACCTGGCTTGGTGATGGTTAATTGGAGTTAAGAGTCTCAAGGATTTTCCTGCCTGGACTGACCGTGAACTACATTCCTCAGATCTCAGCTTCCTGAGTGTGAATCACTGGTACCCAGCATAGTTATTTATTCTTTTGCCAGTCCTGGGGCTTGAACTCAGGGCCTGGGCACTGTCCCTGAGCTGCTTTTGCTCAAGGCTAGCACTCTACCACTTGAGCCACAGCACCACTTCCAGCTTTTCTGTGTATGTGGTACTGAGGAATCAAACCCAGGGTTTCATGCATGGTAGGCAAGCACTCTACCACTGAGCCACATTCCCATCCCTGGCATAGTTATTTTTCCTAGCAAGATACAGACATTCTGTTGGCTTTGGTGGGATGAAAGGGCAAGGGGCAAGGGAAATGAACAACAGAGAGTCTTATGTGGGATACAGACAAGGGGACTGGCCAGTCCTGGTGATGGTTTCAAATATTTTATTGAGGAAGGCACGGTGTTGGGATGAAATTCATTTTCTTTCTTTTTTGGCAGTACTGAGAATTGAACTCAGGGCTTCCAACTTGCTAAGTAAATGCCCTACCACTTGAGCCACTTTTGTTTGTTTATGGTCATGGGGTTTGAACTCTGGGCTTGGGCACTGTCCCTGAGCTCTTTAGCTCAAGGCAAGTGCTCTACCATTTGAAACACAGCTCCACTTCTAGTTTTCTGGTGGTTAATTGGAGAGAAGAGTCTCACAGACTTTCCTGCCCGGGCGGGCTTTGAACCATGATCCTCAAATCTCAGCCTGTTGGGTAGCTACAATTACAGGTGTGAGCTACCGGCGCCTGGCTAGATTCTTGATTTGAGCTTCTCTTCATTTGCACAACTGCTGCAGGGCTCCTTGTGCCTGGACCCAGCGCAGATGCCATTGGGAAAAAGACAGGCCCTGGCAGAGCTCCTCGGAAAGGGCAGCCTGGCCTGGCTGCTCCCACCTGAGGAAGAACATGGCATCAGAGGTTAGGCCCAGCTCTCCAGACATTCTCTGGCTTCTTCCATCACCAAGACCTGAGTCTTGACTCCACCCATCTCACTCCTCTACCCCTCATGTGCCCTCTCACCAGTCCCCCACGACCCCCTGGAGCTCAGGGATACGCTTCAGCGCCTGCTTGAGCAAGTTGTCCAGCCGCTTCAGAACCTGTCCCACGCTCTCTCTCTGCTCCTTTTCCTGGGAGGCCTGGACCTGCAGCAGCTCTGGGGGTTAGAAATCGGAAGGCAGCTTTGAGTCCTTCAGCTGTTTTCAGACTTAAAAACCAATGGGGGGCTGGGAAGGTGGCTCAGTGGTAAAGCGCTTGCCTTGCATACATGAGGCCCTGGGTTCAATTCCCCAGTACCACATAAGCAACAAGAAAAAAAGCCGGAAGTGGCGCTGTGGCTCAAGTGGTAGAGCGCTAGCCTTGAGCTGAAGAGCTGAGGGACAGCGCCCAGGCCCAGAGTTCAGGCCCCACGACCGGAACACCCTCCTCCCCCCAAATAAAAGCACAAACCAATGGGGTCACAAATACTTTGGTGATCTGGTTTAGATCTCAAAGCTGTCCCTTTTGAGTCTTCATCTCAAGGACATACCTATCCCAGGCCTCATCCTAGATGCCTCTCCACAGAGCCCTCTTAACCTTTCCTACTTCCCTGGTCAGCCTGCCTCCCAGGCTTCAGGCTCCCACTAGGGTCACTCACAACAGAATGATCTTCCTGGAGTTTCAACCTGACCCTGGAAGTGGAGCTGTGGCTCAAGTGGTAGAGCACCAGGTTTGAATGAAAAAGCCAGGCGAGGGCTAGGAAGGTGGCTCAGTGGTAGAGCGCTTGCCTTGCAATGCATGAGGCCCTGGGTTGATTCCTCAGCACCACATAAGCAAAAAGAAAAAAAAGCCAGAAGTGGCTCTGTGGCTCAAGTGGTAGAGTGCTAGCCTTGAGCTGGAGAGCTGAGGGACAGTGCCCAGGCCCAGAGTTCAGGCCCCACGACTGGACCCCCCCCCAAAAAAAAGCCAGGGGACAGTGCCCAGGCCCTGAGTTCAAGCTCTCCCTCTCCAGCTTAGATCCCTCTAAATCTTCCCCAAGATAGAGCGAAGCTCGCCCAGTCTGGTATTTGGGAGTTTGCATTACATGGCCCCTGTCCACCAAGTGAGGTATCCTATTTCCACTTGGGAAGTCTTCCCAGCATCCTTTACCCCCGAGCTTTCTCCTCAGCCTACCACAGCCCCTCACTCCAGCAGTGTTTCCCCTCAGGATCATGACTAGGCTTAGTCCCTCTCTAGGTGCCCACACAGGGCCTTGCTCATACCAAGTAAAGATCAGCAGCCTCCCTGGTGGCTCTGAATCTGGCTCAATTTCATCCTGTCTCTGTAACCTTGATCAGCCTTGGGGGTGATAGGGTGTGTGTGTGGGGGCCAACACTAGGGCTTGGACTCAGGGCTTGGTGGTGTCCCCTTAGCTTTTTCACTCAAGGCTAGTGTTCTGCCACTTGAACAACAGCCCCACTTCTGGCTTTTTGGTCACAGATTTTCCTGCTTTGTCTGGCTTTGAACCAGGATCCTCAGATCTCAAGCCTCCAGAGTAGCAAGACTTACAGGCTTGAGCTACCAACATCCAGCCACAGCCTTGCTTTTTACCTACTTTAGAACACTATCTGATAGGAGTACTTTGCAAATGGATGGGCTGTAGATCCTCATGGTAAGAGTGCAGACTTCTGGCTGACTACCTGGGTGTAGCTCCCAGCTCGGCCATGTGGGTGAGCTACTAAGCCACGGGCATCTCAGCTCCCTTCTCTATAATGTGGGAAATGGTGTGCTTACCACATGGCCTTGCCCTGCAGATTAAACCAACAAATGTGTTTTAAGCTCACAGTAAGGCCTGGGTGAGTGAGGGTGTTTGTTAGCACTGCAGGAGACCAGTGCTACTGGATCCAGGAAGCAGGGTAGGCCTACCCTGGGTGGGCAGTTCTGGCTGTAGATGGGTCTTCAGGTGGAGTAAACTGGCAGAGCGGAGACTGCGCTGGTCCTGGAGGAATAGAAGGTCCTGGCGAAGAGAGGCAGCCTTCGGGAGGAGCAGCTCTGGTGCCTGGAGGGAAGGAGGGAGGGAGCGAGGGAGGACAGTCACCTGGGACAGGGATGGGGACAGGGGTAGGCAGACAGGTCCCAGGGGACAGTGACTCACCTTCCCTGCAGGCAGCCCCAGTATGTGACTCAGTGCTATGAGGCTAGAGCCCACCGGGGGTGTGGGGTGCAGCTGGTGGATGGATGGCAGGATGGTGGGCAGTGGCTTGGAGCTAGAGTGGGAAGGGACCAGGGCAGATGGAACTGTAAGAAGGGAGCGCGGGGAGGAAGGGAGTCTGGGGACTAGGATGCCAGACCTAGGTATGGCAGCTTGGCATCCCTGGGGTTCATTCACTGAGGAGACCTTAGGGAATGACAGTCCCTCAGGGCAGGAGAGGTGGGAGCTGGCTGCTAGCCTCACCCTTCGGGGCTGTGCCGCAGCAAGGGGCCCAGCAGAATATCTGGCAGATGCCGGGCTACCTCCTCCAGGCAGCGGAGCAGCTCCTGGCTCTGTGGTGCCACAGCCTCAGAAGTGGGAACCACCTTCCGCTCAAGCAGAGCCAGCACCTGGGGCCGGGGAGAGAAAGGACAGGCGAGCCGGGGTCCAACCAACACCCCCTCACTTGTGGGTCCCCCTCCCCCCCCAGCCCTTACACCTGTCTCACCTCCCCTGGACCCCGGCCCAGGCGCGTCTTGCTGGCTGAGTTTCCCTTGATGAGCAGGCGGATTTGTTCCTGGGTCTCCTCCTGGGGGCGGGAGACCAGAGACAAGTTGCCACCCCTTCACACAGGAGTCCTGCCCTGGGTACCCCACTCCCAGGAGCCTCTCAAGTCTCCACAGTGGCTCTCGCCCAGGTCCAAGGCTTGGTGTGCGCCTGGATCATGATCGGCCTATTTTCTTTCTTTCTCACCACCAGCCGGCGCCAGTGCAGGATCCTCTGCTGCTTGGCCTGGAGCTCCTTCAGCAGAAGCTGCTGGTGCTCAGCTGTCTCCTCCAACTCCTGGCTCTGGGCACACAGGGCCTTGAGCTCTGCTCTGAGGCCATAGCACCGAAGCCCCAGCATCAGCACCTTCCTGGGGAGACCGTCAGAAGACAGGAAAGGGACTGAGGCCACCAGGAACAAGATGATCAGGGACGCACAAGGAACCCCAGACACTGACAGACAGAGACCCAGGACAGACAGTGTCAGAGGCCTCTACTAAGGCAGCCCCTCACCTCTGGCTTGATGCCAGGACGCATTTCTCCACCTCTTCCACCACATCCTGAAGGCGGCCAGTGAGGACCTGGTATTCTTTCAGGAGGGCGCCCTGCTGAGTGACCAGCGCACCAAGGGCCTGCCAGCCTTCCTGAGGGTACAGTACGTGTGGGCATGGCCCATGGGGATGAGGGACGGAGAGGGCCTTCTGAGGGCTCCTCAGTTACCTGGATGAGATGTACCATGGACGGTGCTGGCTGGTCAGAATCTGACTGGTCGGGTACCTGGGGTCTGGGGTGGGAACAAAGCAAATCTCTGAAGACAAGCTTGGTGCCTACACTGGACACCCAGCCCAGCTCAACCTGAAGGTCACCATGTGTGTCCGGCCCCCGTGCCTGCCCTGTCTACAGGAACCTGCTGCTCCACACCTGGGTAGCTGGGTCTCTCCCAGTCCATCATCACTGCGGCATTGGGCTAGGATCTCAGCCTCCCGCTCTGCAGCCAGGTACTCCAAGGCGGCCAGCACATGGCCCGGTGGGTGGTTTGTCAGCAGGGTCTGGCAGGAGGAAGGGAAGGCAGTGAAGGCATGGGGTGAGGGCAGGGCCGCAAGCGGGGACCATGAGGCAGGACACACAGTTAGGGGCTGGCCTTTCTGGAGATCCCCACTTTCTCACCTCCACTGAGCTAAGCCACTGCTGGTAGGAAGTTCCAAATTGGTCATCTCGAGAGTTTCTGGTATTTGGATAAGAGGATGGAGAATACATAAGACTGTACAGTTACCCTTCTATAATTATTCTATCCTACTTTGCTGATAAGGAAACTGTCTCCACCTGCTCCTCCAATTATACCAACATGCCAGTCTTGGGGTCTTCCCATGTGCTGTTGACCTGGGACGCCAATGTGACCCTTCACCTTTGCTCTGTCTCCTCACCAGTCCCCTCCCATCCTTAGCTAGGTAAGGGACTCCTTTGGGGTGCCCAGAGCCTCTTCCCCATCCCTAATGCCTTGGCCACCTGGTTGCTATTTGTCTATGATGGGTGTGGCCCTTTGTGCCAGCCTGAGAACCCCAGTGTCTGGGCTAACGTAGCACCCTGAAGCCCAGATTTTTTGTGGGGTTTCTGGGGTGTGTGGATACTCACTGGACAGGGCCTCCTTGGGCCTGGGGCATGAGGAGGTTCTGAAGAAACTGGGCGCGGAGGTTGCAAGCTGCTCGGACATCCCGCTGGGGAGAAGAGGGGAGCCATAAATGGGGACCCAGGCATCTGCCTCACCCTGGATATCTCAACTCTTTCCTCCACAGCCCAGGGTCCTTACCAAGACCTCAGGCTCCAGGGCCAGGGTTGCTGATGTCAGGGGGCCAAAGGTCACCTCCATTTTGGCCTTCCTGTAGTAGCAACACAAATAGGGTCAAGGGCCAAAGGACCAATAGATGTTTGTGTCCCAACTGCTGCCATGGTCAGCATGGCTGGTCACAAGGATTGCTGAGCCCCAGTGGCCACCTCTCAGATTAGGACACTGTCAACCTCCTAGCCTGTTTGGACGTTAAGTGTTCCTGATGGGAACCTGGAATTCTGGAATTGGGAAGGGGTCAGGGCCAAGCACAGGGTGGTGGTGGGAGAGGAGAGGCAGAAGAGGTTACTCTAAGGATATCAGGTGCCCTTAGGCAAGATGAGGCCTACCTTTCCATGTCCTGCAGGCGCTTGAGCTGGTTGTGCAGCCGCTGCATGGGTCCTCGGAGTCCATGCTGCTGTTTCCGCACAGCCCCGGCTTGGGCCTGGAGGAGGAGAGCCTGACGCTGGGTGTCACGCATGCTCTGCAGTGCCTGCTCCTCGGCTATGTCTGTGGGAGGAACACCGGGGTGGCCCTCAGCATCTTCTCCGCCCTCAGTCCCACTTCCCATCTTCCTGGCCCCGTGGGTCACTTTGAGTCTCGGTCTCCTGATCCATCAGCTCTAGGCTCTGGTCCAGCTCTTGGATCTCAGCTCGGAGGCGGGCGGCCGTGGCTTCCAGTTCCAACTTGCGACGAACCTGGTGTCATCAAATACAGGGTTAGCTGTAGCTAACCCTCCACTTCTGTCTTTTTTGCTGGTTAATTGGAGATAAGAGCACAAGGCTCTCAGGAGGCTAAGATCTGAGAATGGCAGTTTGAAGTCAACCCCAGGTAGGAAACTACAACACGCTTAGCTCTATTTGACCATCAAAAAGTCCAATGTGGAGCTAGCCCCCCCCAAAACTAAGCCACATTCCCAGCTCTAAAAGAGAATCTTATAGAAAAGGCTTCTCACCTCTGGACTATCCTGGTAACCATACCTGAAAAAAATGAGACTGGTGTTAGAGATGCCTGCGTCTTAAGTGGGGAAGGCTGAAGTATGAGACTGTGGGTGGGGACAAGGCTAGAAGGGAATTGGGAAGATAAGAAGGGATTGATTTTTGTTACTGGGGCTTCATCTCAGGGCCTAGGCACTGTCCCTGAGCTTTTCCTGCTCAAGGCTGACGTTCTACCACTTGAACCATACCATCACTTTTGGCTTTTTAGTGGCTAGTTGGAGAGTTTCATGGACTTTCCTGCTCAGGCTGGCTTTGAACCATGATCCTCTGAGCTTTGCCTTGGAAGGAGCTAGGATTACAGACTAGGAAGGGACAATTTTGAGCAGTTACCAGAGCAGATTTCCCCGGATCTTCTTTAGACTCCTGCAGTGGAGAAAAGGAGGAAGGGGGGTTGCTGCGGGATCTGTCCTTGCCCCAACCCTCAACCTTCCCCAGCACAGGCTTGGCTCACCTTTGACTGTGGACATGCTTCAGGACATATGCCCAGATGTCAGCTCCCTGACCCAGACACAGCCTGTGGGGTGGGGGAACAGTTAGGGTCTATCCCCCATGTACCACACAGCGCTCAGACGCTCTCTCTCTCTCTCTCTCTCTCTCTCTCTCTCTCTCGTGGTTGGTCATGGGGTTTGAAGGGCCTGGGTGCTGTCCCTGAGTTTTTGCATCCAAGGCTAGCACTCTACTACTTTGAGCCTCAGTGCCACCAGGTGCCTGGCATGGAGGACCCTCTTTGGTGGGTAGATGGGTGATGGGAAAACCTGAGTTCTCCTTTGGGGGTGGGTGGGTAAGGGTAGGGAGGGATAGGCCCGGATTGGAGAAGATCAGGGAGGTTTGTTCTAAAGCCAGGTGAGATATGTATGACATTGCCAGAACCAGGCATGAGTCAGATTCAGCTCCAGTGTAGTGGGGGTGATCACTGCGGACCGGGATAAGATCGGGATGCCCTTCATTAACCTTAGGCAATTTTTAACTGGTGCTGGGGGCGGGTGTGGAATCCCTGATCGGGATGACCGTCTAGGTTGCAGGGGTAACCTTCAGGGTCCGTCACTCAGCACCAGCATTAGGACACACATTCTCAGGGCAGGGATCCCTCAGGAACTTGGGGTGCGGTCTCGTCCTGGATAAATGCGTGTGTTTGGTGGGGGGGGGTCGTCTAACTCCAGAGACGTTAGCTCTGGGATGGAAAGTCTTCATTTTTGGCGCAATCTCACCTACGCAACGTCGATTCCGGGGCTCGAGCTGCCAAGGGTACCCCCATCTCTTCTACCGCCCAGCAGTCCAGTTCCCGCGCTTCCCGCACCAACTCCATGACAAACGCCAGACCTGGGCGGCCGCCGCCACCTCCCGCGCCCGCTTCAAGCGTGACGCATATCTATGACGTCACGAGAGCGACGCAGGTGGTGTCATCGGTTGCTGGGCAGACTACTGAGAGCTCCCTGGCTAGCTGGGACTTAGAGACCTTGCATCAGGGTATTTAAAAAAAAACATTATGTTCAAGATTTATTATACTTAAACACATTTCCCTGTTTATTGTTCATTAATCTTGCAAATAATTCCTTAAACACTCATACATTAATATGTATATGTTTACATATATATTGTTGGGCCATGTGTGTGTGTATATATATGTACATATACATACACACGTTTATATATGTCTTTATGTGGTGTATTTACTCGTATCTTGGGAAAACTAATGTAATCATTAGGGTAAATATATATAATATAATTACATACTTATTATAGTTATATAATTATAGTGTATAATATATATTTATTATACATTAATCATATAACATATTTTATGCATTTACTATAATACTACATTATAATAATTACAATATATTTGTTTGCATTTCTTGGAGTTCTTTTTGATAGATATAATTTTATATGATCAGAAGCACATAGGCCAGTGGAGGGGTCTACACTGAGTGAAGATGGTTCATTGTATGAGACTCTATGTGGACCTGAAGAGCTGTCCTGTTGTCTCCTCTCCACTGCTATGCTTTGTGAACTCTAGCTGCCTTGACTTACCGCACTCCTAGTGGAGAGCATTTCTACTTCAATTTGTGGCTGAGTTCAGGTCTCTCAGTAGTAGGGAAAGACTAGCCCTAGGCTAAATGCTGCTCTCATGCAGACTAAAAATATTAAAAATCAGATCAAGTAGCTCACACCTGTAATTCAGGAGACTGAGATCTGAGGATCAAGGTTCAAAGTCAGCCTCAGCAGGAAAGTCCTGAGACTCTCTCTTAAGTAACCAGCAAAAGGTCAGAAGTGGAGATGTGGCATAAGTGGTAGAGCTCCAGCCTTGACTGAAAAAGTAGTAGTAGCACACACACACACACACACACACATACACACACACACATACACACACACACACACACACACAAAGTTATTTTCATTTATAATTGACTCTTTGAGAGTTAAAAAAATATATCAAGGATGGGCTGGGAAGGTGGCTCAGTGGTAGAGCGCTTGCCTTGCATGCCTGAGGCCCTGGGTTCGATTCCTCAGCACCACAAAAGCAAAAAGAAAAAAGCCAGAAGTGGTGCTGTGGCTCAAGTGGTAGAGCGCTAGCGTTGAGCTGAAGAGCTGAGGGACAGCGCCCAGGCCCAGAGTTCAGGCCCCACGACTGGACCCAAAAAATAAAAAGTATATATATCAAGGATATAAATCCTTTGAAAAGTTTTTGTGATTTTCAGGGATAGGAATGTGTGGTTCAGTGGTACAGTATGTGTTTAGAATGTATGAGGCACTGGGGTTTGATCTCTGCACTGCCAAGAAAAAATGGAGGAGAAAGTTAGAGTGCTAGCCTTGAGCTGAAGAGCTCAGGGACAGTGCCAAGGCCCAGAGTTCGACCCCCCCCCAAAAAAAAGACTGCTTTATGGGGCTGGGAAGGTGGCTCAGTGGTGGAGCGCTTGCCTTGCATGCCTGAGGCCCTGGGTTCGATTCCTCAGCACCACATAAGCAGAAAGGAAAAAGCCGGAAGTGGTGCTGTGGCTCAAGTGGTAGAGCGCTAGCCTTGAGCTGAAGAGCTGAGGGACAGTGCCCAGGCCCAGAGTTCAAGCCCCACGACTGGACCAAAAAGAGAAAAAGAAAATAGTAAGACTGTGCTGGAATTTAATTATTGCTTGGAGGCCATTTCAACCCCACGTGTGTGTGTGTGTGTGTGTGTGTGTGTGTGTGTGTGTACATGCACACACATCTATGGTTTATAAATATTTTCTCCTGGTAGCTTATTTTCTTTCCTAACAGGATTTCTTACAGGGAAGAGTATTTAATTATCTCAATTTTTTTTATTTTAGGGATCACTTTATTTTTGTGCCAGTTTTGGGGCTTGAATTTGTAGTTCAGGTTCTGTCCCTGAACTTTTTTGCTCAAGGCTAGCACTCTACCACTTCAGTCACAGCTCCACTTCGGTTTTGTTTTTGTTTTGGAAGTTAATTGGAGACAAGAGTCTCACAGACTTTCCTGCCCAGCTGGCTTAAAACTGTGATCTTTAGATCTCAGCCTCCTGAATAGCTAGGATGACAGGAGTAACTGGTATCTGGCTAGGGGAAATATTTTGCAATGTTTCACGGATCACTTTTAATACAGAAAAACAGATCTTTGAATTTTGCACTTTAGCAATGAAATAACATAACGAATCTCCTTTCCAACTCTACCAGTATAGAATTAGCTTTACTTTGCCTTTACTTATTGCATCGCGAGAAGTCCATAGTGCTTTCTTGGGGAGAGAAGGTACAGATTTGAAATCTTTCAACCAAAGATCATGGGGTTAAAAGTAACACCCAGCGTCCCTGGGTGGGCTTGAACCACCAACCTTTCGGTTAACAGCCGAACGCGCTAACCGATTGCGCCACAGAGACGTGGTTTCTGCAGGAGCACAGGACATATAGGGAGGGAGCAGCCACCGCACTTGCTTCCCTGGGGAAGGGCGGGGCTGGGCGTGTGTTTCTTAACGCTGGTGTTAAGTTACAAAACCTGGGGAAGTATGCTGAGGTGTGAGATCTTGCATCACGTTTTTGTCACCTTGGAAGCTCCTGTATACTTGGGGGAAGATTCTGAAGCTAGAAAAACCGCCTTCTCCCTATGCTTATTTAATGAAGCCATCTTATTTAATTAATCTATCCTTATCTTCCTCGGAAGAAGCCTAAGAAGGGAAATCAGAGGAGTTTCTGGACTGGACTGTCCCTACAGGGTGTGCAGAGCTGTTTCCAGAGGAATCAGAATGGCAGCAAGGAGCAGGCAGAGCTCATGTACTCAACAAACCCACTGCATGCCCCTTGTGCCCCTCTGAGTCATATATGACTTTGGGGATCCTGAGGGCTGGATAGTCAGCCCCTTCCCAGCCTGAACACCTCCGGCTCCTATGCCTCTGGGCACCCCTGGGGTCGACCGCCTTGACTGGAGAGATGGTTTCTGTTCATAGGTGTTCCTAGAAGATACCTGGTGAATAAAACATTGATTCAAATGTCTAAATATCACCCCACCTTAGCAAAATTATTATTGTCTATTTTACGGACCAAAAAACCCGCCCCACATTTTGTCAAAGGATATCTTTATTTCTACTTGGTCAGCACTGGGGCTTGAACTCAGGGTCTCTTACCCTCCATTGGCTTTTTCCACTCAAGGGTAGCACTCTACTATTTGAGCCATGCCTCTACTTCTGGCTTTAAGAGTCTCTGGAGCTGAGGGTTGGAAGCTCTCGCCTGTAATCCTAGCTACTCAGGAGGCTGAGATCAGAGGATCACAGTTCAAAGCCAGTCTGGACAGGAAACTCTGTGAGACTCATCTCCAATAAACCGCTAGGAAAAACAGAAGTGGTGCTGTGGCTTACGTGGTAGAGCGCTAACCTTGAGCTGAAGAGCTGAGGGACAGCATTCAGGACCAGAGTTCAAGCCCCATGACCCACAAAAAGAGAGTCTTTGGATTTATCTGCCCCAGGATGGCTCCATACTGGGATCCTCAGATCCCAGCCTCCTGAGTAGTTAGGATTACAGGTGTGTGCCACCAGTGTCTGGCAGTTTTTTTTTTTTTTAATGCCATAGGGTAGAGAGGCTAGTGTACAAATCCACAAATGTCCTCATTTCCTGTCCCTGGCTTTACTATCAGAATGTTCTAAGTTTCCACATAATCTAGGAAACACATAGCCCCAGTGAAATACAGACAATTCCCCCCCTCCCCCAACCTGGGGAAAAACAACAAAGAACCAAAAACCATACAGACACAGGAGAAGCCAGAACAAACCCTTCCATTTTATTGGGTAAAGAAATAGTTTTCTGAAAGAGCAGCCCTGGAGAACTGAGGGGATCTAGCGCATAAAGCGCAACCCATCATGGTGGATAAAGACAGCTGTGGAGGCGATAGGAACCTATGTGTCACTGACAAGCGATTACCAATGTCCACGAGCAGGTGAGTTGCTTGGATGGTGAGTTCCTTGGTTGATAGGTTTCTTGGCTAGGAGATTGTCTCAGCTACTGAGTTTCTCACATGGTAGCTGGTAATGTCCTGACGAGAATGGACTCCTGGGATACTGGTCTGTCCTTCACATATATAACGTATACACGTAAATGATAGCTAAACCAATGAGTATGGCGAACACATCCAGCCAACCAGTCCGGCCAGAGTTGATGTAAGCCTGCTCCCAGTCTTGGTTCTGGTTGGCCTCGGTAGTCTGTAGGCAGGAGCACAGATATGAGATTCTGATCCCAGAAACCCTTGGGAAATCCCCTTCCTGGGTCCCAGCCAGAAGCACAGACAGGGGGGCAGGAAGAGGATAAAATTGGCCATCATTAGTTGCTGGTGGCTCATACCTGTAATCCCAGCAATCAGAAAGCTGAGATCTGAGGATTGAGGTTTAAAGCCAGCCCAAAGTAGGCAAACCCAAGAGACTCTTCTGGCCAATTAACCATCAAAAAGCTAGAAGTGGCCCAGTGCTGGTGGCTAACACCTGTAATCCTGAGATCTTCGATCTAAGATCTGAGATCTGAGGATCGAGGTTCAAAGCCAGCCCGAGCAGGAATGTCTATGAGACTCTTATCTCCAATTAACCACCAGAAAACTGGAAGTGGCACTGTGGCTCAAGTGGTAGAGCATTAGCCTTGACCTGAAGAGCTGAGGGACAGTGCCCAGGCCCAGAGTCAGAGTTTAAGACCTATGACCAATAACAACAACAACAAAAAGCTGGAAGTGGAGGTGTGGCTCAAGTGGTAGGGCCCAGCATTGAGTAGAAAAGCTAAGCAAGGGCACAGGCCCTGAGTTCAAGCCCAAGTCCCAGTACTAGCACACACACACATACACACACACACACAAAGACAAGGAAAGAAGCAAAAAGGA